TGCTGTGGCGCCCCGGAGGAGGCCGGCGAATTGACCTCGGCCTGGACTCCTACCGGCCGTTTCACCGCATCGTCAGGACTGTGCACCTGCAGGACGCCGTCCACATCTGCGAGGCCCACGCGATGAGCCCGAGGCCGGTCACCAGCCTGAACTCCCTCAGCAGGAGGAGCCTCAGACGGGGCCACCCTCTTCGCGGCCTCCAAGTCCTCTGGTTCGGCACGCGACGCGAGGAACGCGACGCCAACGAGGCTCATGACTGGTACGGGAACGTGGAGTTCTCTCTCGCCGCGGACGTTCTCCTCGCACACTGGGGCTTCGCCTACCTGGTGGAGCTCATGACGTCGCCCACGCAGACGGTGACGCGGCTGCTCATCTCCAACAGAGACTACACACGCTTCCTGCCGGAGTACGACCCGTACTGCGTGGGCGGCGGGTGGTACATCAGCCCCGAGGGAGAGCACCTGGAACTCGCGAACTGCTCTCGCTTCAACGGCGAGGACCCGCGACTCAACAGGCACGGCCACACGCTCGAATTCATGATCGAGGTCACGCCGTGGCACCAGGGAAATCTCCTCCTCTCTGAGTGCCAGATCTCCTTCAGGAATCATGAAGATGCGAGACTCATGCACAGGAAACACGTCTGCCACAGATTTCAGCAGCAGAATCTTCTCTGTCCAACTCCCTGGAGCACGAAAGGGACTTCCAGGATATTCTTCGAGTTGCACCATCGCCTCTCTCAGAGCCGACCCATGGCCACTCCCCCGCTGTCGCCTCAGGCCGAGCTTCACCTCCAGCGCTTCTCGCGAGAACACGAGCTGGCGTTGGCCCCGCTTCCTCCTCCTCCTCCCCCCATCTATGTGCCCATCCCTTGCGTTTTCTCTGGAGGAGTCCCATTTCCGCTGATTAACTTCAGAGCCTACGACAGACTCCTGAGAGAGATAATCAGCGATCAGCCCTGGGTCCAGCCATTTCCCTCAGCAGAATCCAGTGAAGCCGAAGACAACAGCGGGGTTGTGTCTCTCCAGAGGCCAGGCTTTCAAGTGGATCCCTCTCCTGGATTATTTTTTTACCAGCAGCACATGATCGGCGGCGTGTCCCTCCCGAGCAACGGACAAGCTCCTCCAGGCTTTCTCATGGCCTTGTACAGGGCTTCCCTCGAAGTGAGGCTGCAGCTGCCGGGTTACAGTGCTGCCGCGGAGGTTTCCGGATTTCCTGCCAGCCCTAGAAATCTATAGGTTGGGAATGGACAGCTCGGGAAATTATCCAAATTGATGAGAGAAAGAAAATAGAAGAAAGATAGAGAGAGGGGGAGAGGTAGGGAGAGAGTTTAGATGAAAATAAAGATATGATTTATGAAAACCGATTCACATAATCAGGACATTACCTATATAGATACTCTGGTAGAAAGGTAGATTAAGAATAAAGCCTTTGCAGTTCGAGATATGTAACTGACATTCCGATGATAATCATATATCTTTGTCAAAATGAACTGCACCATATCCTCTATCTGACATGACTGACTTTGAAATTTGATTATCGGCTATTAAAAACCCTAGTATGCTAATTTATATTGATTTACGGATATCGCCAGATTTATAAATGATTAAAATGATTAAATCCATCCTAGCTTTCGTTGATTCTAAGCCTCTCTGCATCATAAAAAGTAACAAGCATTTCCGTTTTTCCTTTACAGTTGTACCTCTACCCATTATTTTCATATCAAAATCATTAGGATAACATTGATAACGCTTAGCTTAACAACTGTCGTTAGTATTATTATCCTTGTTGCTGTCATTATCACTATTATTACTATTATCTTATTACCATTAGAATTGTAATTACCATTATTATTACTATTATTATTATAATTATTATCATTTTTATTATTATCATTATCATCATTATTATTATCATTATTATTATTATCATTACCATCATTATCATCATAATCATTGTCATTATTATAATTATTATTATCATTATTATTATTATAATTACTATCATTATTATTATCATCATAATCATTGTCATTATTATTATTTCATTACTGTTATTCTTACCATTATTAATATTATCATTACTATCATTATCATTGTTGTTATCATTATAATGATAATAATTATTATTATCATTGTTATTACCATTATTATTATTATCATTATTATTATTATTATTATTATTATTATAGCTATCATATCATTATTATCATTACAGCATTATAATTATTATTATCATCATCATTGTTGTTGTTGTTGCTATCATTATCATTATTATCATGATAATAACCATTATTATCATTATTATTATTCTCATCATTTTACTACTATTATTATCACAATAATTCCTATTATTTTTAATTTTACCATCACTATTATTGCTATTATCATCATCATTTTCACTGTCATTATAATTAATGTCATGTCATTGTTATCATTATCATCTTTATTGTTATCATTACTATCGTTATTATCACTATTATCAATATCATTATTATTGTTGT